GTTTCGCGAAGGTCCTGGTAAACGAGCGGGACGAGTCCCGCTTCAAATAGTTCAAGTGTTAAATTATCCCGACGGTGTCCGACGACTCCGATGTAATCGCCTGGAGACATTCCAGAAACGAGAAGGTTGCAAAGAAATCACGCCGCGGAATTCTCGCGATTTGTTTTATCCAATCGAGAGATTATACAGTTAATAACCTGCGCTTCTCTCTCTCTTTCCCGTAGTTTGCGAGATACCTACGGGATATGTGCGATACTCTGGATTCGTAGCGAGTTATAAGTAGCAACGATGGAGGTGCACGGCATCGACGAGGAAGATGAGGATGTTGTGATACAAGTACGACGAATTCAATTTTTCTAACCTCTCAAACTTGCGGGGCGCTTTAAGCCCGACCACGTTTGTTACTCCGAGAAATGAGGTTATATTTGCATTCGTGCGCGCATTTCTCTCGCCGCTTTCGGCGGGATAAAAATATTGGAAGAGAATTTCCTTATCAGCGACGTGATTCCTTCGATCTGAATTAAGCGTACAATTTTTAGAGACACGTTACTCATCGTCAAATAAGCCACGGGGATGACTGTTGGACCGTAGGAGCAATAAGGAGTAGCGAATGTCCACAAACTTGGAATAGCGGATTGAAAATGATGGCCCAGCGAGAAATGGCTCGTCGAAACGACGCCGAATCAACGTCGGTTTGACAGTAGCTGCGTTCGGCATTGCAAATCCGAGGTGTCGGGGTGCTGTTCCTCCCTTTCTATTTCATTCTCCTCTCGCGCTCGCTCGAATACAAAAGAGCACTCCCCATCTCGGATTTGTAACGCCCGAACGCAGCTAGTGATGATGTTGATTCGACATCGTTTTGCCGAATCGTTTCTCACCGGGGAAGAATAATTGTAACCAATAAAGCGAAACGACTTTTAAGGCTGATGGCAGAGAACGATCCGTAAACGCTCAAGTCTGTCTTAGTCGTGGACACAGGGCAAGGCAGAAGAAACTTAAGTCATATACAATAGACTTTCAAGACTTGAGTTTTTGGCTGACGGCAGAGAACAATCCGTAAACGCTTAAGACTGGCTTATTGTTAGTCGTAGACGTAGGGCAAGGCAGAGATAAACGTAAGTCGTATACAATAGCCTTTCACGACTTACGTTTCTCTCTGCCTTGCCCTACGTCTACGACTGAGACAGTCTTGAGCGTTTACGGATTGTTCTCTGCCATCAGCCTTTCTCTGCCCTGCCTCACGTCTACGGCAGACTCGAGCTAACTTCACGGATCATTCCTGCCATCGGCCGAACATTCGGGGAAATTTAACGTCTTTGTCTGTGTTGCAGGGTAGCGCTCTTCACCAGCACCTTTCGGAATTCGGTTACATGGACTTTGAGAGTGTACTTGTGCCCAAGACAGCGGACCTCAAACGGGAGCGTTGTTTGAACATTGTAATGCACTTTGTTAACGGTGATGTTATCTACGAAACACCGTGTAGAAAATATTGATGGAGTTCGCAGAAATTACACGTAGCACCTCTAATTTTTGCAGGATATTCGAAACACCGTGAAGCAGATTTATGCAAATTTATTTTCTCTTTACTCCTGGATGATGCAGGTACTCCTTGCTCTGGGAAGAAAATGTTTAGTCACGGTATCTGCATCGAGTGAATTTATTCCCGATAGTTTACTCGTTGCAGGAGACGAGCGTTTCCTGCGAGCAACTGAGTGCTATTTTGAATGCGGAAGCTTTGCTGAACGACCATTTTTCTACGATTAGCGACCTTCTAGCCAAGTGCAATAACAGTTCTAAGAGGTAATAAGGAACCTTTTAAATTATCGTAGAGTCTAAAAGGCAATTCATAAAACTTGCTTGTGCTGATGTTCACACGATGCGTTTTGCTTGCTATAAAATGTACCGAGATTCAGAAACGAAATTCCTGAATCTTGATAATTTATTTTGCTTGCAGAGTACCGCTGCAAGAACTAATTGTGACTGGAGCTGTATTAGTCTCTTCAATGTACGTTTCGTGGTGCGAACACAAGACGTTGCCGACGTTATTTGCGTCGTCCGCAATTTGTTGCGTCGGTTATACGAAGTACTTGCGTTTTCGTGCAAATAGAAATCTAAAAAATGTTGTATCGTTACAAAACGAACTTTTTCTCACGTGCAAAGATGGCCTTAAGATCTTACGACGTGATTATAAGATAAAATTGGGCTCCGAAACGTGTTTTCAACAATTTTCGTAAGTGCACGAAATCCATACAAAATTAAAGGAATATTATACATATAGAGGAAAGTCCCCTATTATGAGATAGGCTGCTAATACGGGACGGCGAAATTTCCGCTAAATTAATTGGCATCATCTGTTGGTTCCACCATGGAGAGTTTATTGCCCTTGAAGTGAAATTTGTTTAGTGGAAAATTGATTGTTAGATCGTGTAATCGTTGCGAAGAAATATTTGTGATTGAATTTGGACGTTGAAAACCTACCAACTCATATCAGAATCCTATCTCATAATCGAGGACTGTCCTCTATTAATAACATTTAAATGTAGATATTGTTATTCTATTTCTATTTTTGCTTGTACTAGTCATTTCTTAGGTGAAAAGTTGCAATATCTGGAATCACTAAAAGACTCTTTAATAAGATTCATGGAAAATATCTCGCGCGTCTATTACGAGTGCTCGCTGTCAATTGCGAAACTGCTGCCACCAGATGCGCTTAGCGAAGAGTCGTTTACAAAGTTTGAAGCCGACTCGTTCGAGGCATCTGGCGAAATCGATTATCAAGCATTGAAGGTGGGAAAAGGATACAATTACAAGATACATTTTACGATAGTGGACAGTATATTTTTATATCTATTACTTTTTACAGAGACTATATCACATCTATCTTCTGGTGCAATCAGAAATGTTGTATTTACTAGCTGTCGCGTATGATAGCAGTACGTGGATACGTTCTTGCCAGAAGATTCCCGAGACAAAATTAGCTCATATAATTCATATCTTGATTAAAGAACTGGCAGTATACAAGATTAAATTGTCAGAAGTTATTAATGCGTATCGTACTTGCAAGATGGAACCAGTTCGATATAAGTAAATTAAAAAAATATGTATTTGCGTTTACAACAGTTGACACGTAAACTAATAAGAGGCTTCTTTTCAGGACACAGGATAAAGTTAAGTGGCACGATCCAACTGTCCAGTTGGATTTGGCGTCGTACAAACTGCAATTGGCCTACAATCAAGTTTTTTCAACATTTAAGAATATTGAGGACTGCATTAATCAAGATATTGGTATCGATAACGAAACGGCTGACACGCTGATGCAAAAGCTGGGTAGAGCATTCAAGGAGATCGACACTGCTGGGAGTCTGGCAGAATTTGTCGTTCTCTTGATGGCAAGATCGGGATTCGGCGATCTGAGAAGCGGCGATCGACCTGCAGTCGATGATACTGCGATAAATCAGAATTCCGACGTGCCGATAATAATCGACTCGGACCCGCAGATTCTTGATGAGGTATTCGAAGAGTATATCAAAGACGAGTATTTAAAACCGTTGAACGAGGACACAGACGAATGCTCGTTGGAGCAACGAAAGCTGGACAAGCTTCTGGCCAAGAACTTTATGGTCGAATTGAAGGAAGCTTTGGTCGATAAACATAAGTCTATGTCCGAGCGGGAGTCCAGGGCGCTGCAACGTGTGTATAAAAATGTATCGAGGGATCCTACATCGAGAATCGAGGAGAACGAGAAGCACGTCCCGCCCGTTCCACCGCCGATACCTCTTTACTACATATGGTCAACGTCGTCAAGCGACGCTAATTCAAACGGCAGGAAAAGGATTTCTTCTACTTGTAAGATAAAAAATGATGAATCGTCTGTCCGAAGAGAATCCAGCGAATCGGGTGAAGAAAACGATCTTGTGAAGCCTCTGAAACGAAAGAATATTTTGGACACATCACGTGCCGAAGTCTACGACGGGGATGAGGAATCTGTTGCGTCTTTGCCGCAAATTCTCCTCGAAACTCGAGCCACGCGGTTTGTCACGAAGCTACCGCCACCTTTTCTCCGTGAGGAAACGTTCGTAGGAAGCGGCGAGAATTCTGAGGACGAAATCGTAGGTGATGCGAGTGATTGTGAGGAAGATAGAGAGTCCCAATAATAAGTTTGATATTTAATCTTCTACGTCTTTCCACATTTGTTTAAAATACAGAATGAAATATTGGACTTTTTTAATGACTATGTCGAAACTATATATTTCTTTATCTTTAGATGCGCACTTCGTATCGCGTTTGTTTTGAACAGCGTGGAATAGACTCGCTCTGTCTCAAAGTATCGTGTCATCAGATCGCAGAGTGCTTCTGCGATTTCTGAACTGTAACTTTATTAAATAATTCGATTCAACGGATATTCCTTTCTCCCTATTAAGGCCCGGTCTCACCAAACGTCGTTTAACTTCAATCTGAGTTTAATCCATGTTCGTCTCTTTCTAAAGTAACAGTTGGAAAGAGACAAAGAACGAATTAAGTTAATACTTTAAATTGTATGTAAAACATTTACTCCTAGATCTCACTTGAAAAGGACCTAAACCAAGGGTCGAAACGTTGTGTAGGCGTATTCGATAAATGTGGTCAGCTGAGGTCGATTAAAATTTGAAATTGTTTTACGTCAACACTGGCAATCCGACGAAATATACCATTTGAATTAAGTTAAGCTTAAAGTTAAACAATGTTGGTGAAACCGGACCTAATCCGTTAAATCGAGATTCTACCGTACGTATCTTTATACAATCAATTTTTATTTAAAACTACAATTAAATTTTTATCAAAGAATTTAAAGGACTCAGAGCCGTGACAGGGTGGTAGTGTCTAAATATTCTATTCTAAATTTATTGCGAAAAAATATCACCCTGGCCGAGGTGATATTTTTTCGCAATAAATTTAGAATAGAATATTTAGACACTACCACCCTGTCACGGCTCTGAGTCCTTTAAATTCTTTGAAATTTGTGTGTAACACGTACGAGCCATACTATTTTATTCAATTTTTATCATCCGGGTTTTGCCATGCGAGCGATGACTATTTGGAAAATTTACTTTTGTAATATATTCGTGCGTTGGTTGCGGCCAAAATGTCTCGCGACAAACGCCACATACACGGTTTCTTTTGCGAACGATTCAAGAATCGAATCCCAGGGAGGGAAGAGCAGAAAGGAGGGTATTTCAAATTACGAGGGGCGAGGTGGCGAATCTGATTGGCTCGCCGTCTTGAGACCTAGGGTGTGTTCCTCTCTGTACTACTGAGAGGAAATTAGAACACACTCCTACTCGAAACGATGTAAAACCGATTCTATTGGACAGGCTTCCTACGTAGCTCCAATATGGCGCGCTTAGCCGATCCCCCCCTTCCGTCCGCCGCCAACACCGCCCCCCCGTTTCGCACTTCTGCTGTTATTCCTTCCTCCGTGCGCAAGTTTGCCCGAGAGGCCCGTATTAGTACACAGCCGCCCCGTAAATAAGAATTGTACGTTCACGATGCAGTGACACTGTACGTATTGCGAAACGACATATTTTTCAACGGATCCATGCTACATTCAACAAACGTCTACATTGTATTTCCCGTATTCTCAGCCCTCTCTTGTCGACGAAGGCGCCTCTAAAAGTGGCCGATACTCTTCCGATCGGCTGCGAGCCGCTTTTAGAAGCGCTCTTATCGATAAAAGGGGATTCAGAATGCACGCCCGTGTCCGCAGCTCAACAGTCGGGGTCTCGTCGAGCACGCTCTGAGGTGTTACGAGCGCACAGTTCGTGGCCAGATCTCGGTTCTCATGCCCGCGGCGCATACGCGCACGTACGGTCGCGCTGACGCCGCTCTGACAGTTGGCGCGGTGGGGGTCAGTGGGGGTCGGTGGTCGTGGCGCTCTACCCCCCCGGCGATACGCGCTCGTGCTCCGAGAGAAGATCCCGAGGCCCAGTGGGCGAGTGGTGAAACGTGAGCGAGCGAGCGGTGCTGGTACCGAGCCGAGCCGGCATGGGCGATTCCTTGGACGGCTCCGGGGAGCCGCCCCCGGAGCCGCAGAACGTCGCGGTCGTCGAGTTCCCGACGTTCGCCAGCTATCTGCGCAAGGCCGTCACCGTGCTGCTGCCGGACGAGGATGCGGTGCCGCCCGCGTTCAACCTCGCGCTCGAGGAGCGCTACAACCAGGACTGCATCCGCAAGTTCCTCGGCGACTCGCAGGTCAGCTCGCTCTACGTGCAGAGGAGCTCGAGCAAAGGTGAGGTGGAGCGCGCGATCGATCGATCATCTCCTCGTCCAGGCTTCCTCCTCCTCCTCCTACCACTGCTCCGCCTCCTCGTTTCGAACTGAAGGGGACCCAGCGACCGGCGGACGCCTCCATTATCCGGATGCGTTGACTCGATCGGGGACGGTATACGCGTATGCAACGGTACATTTGCGCACGTACGTGCGTGCGAATCAGCGACGGGGGGGAAGCCGCGTCCCGTGTGTAAGGAGTCAATTGCGCGGTGCGCGTTTCACGCCCCGCGCTCTCCCGCCAAATATGACTCACTCGGGCCGATGAGATCGATACGCGCGCGTATCGCGCGATACGTCGATGGGATACGTGGGCGACGTGCGCGCGGCATCGTCGACGGGATCCTCGTGGCGAGGATCCCGTCGACCTCCTCTTCGCGCGTGCCCAGCACCGCGCGGCGGTCACGCGTGAGGTAAAGCTCGCCGCTTTCTCATCATTCGAGAGCGAAAGCGGCTGTTTACTTGCGGGAGCAACGAAAGGCGAAATTGGTAGTAAACAGGTGCTCGGCAAGAGGACCGTTTACCTTAGTTTCATGACAAAACCGCGGTCGCCGCCGCGTTTGCGCTCCGTCACGCGGCCACCGTCGGATCTATGATTCATCTCGACGACGTGCTTGCGTCTCTCATTTACTTATTTGTGTTGTAGCGATTGCGGTAGCTTGGGCTGGTGCGCACCGACCCCAGTGGCACAGTCTCTTTGGCTAAACATTGGCCCCATGTCGGTTTTATTAGAAATGCATTGGCCGATGTTGTCAAACGTAAAGCCAATGTTGGCCATGGAATAAATGTAAATATTGCACAGTAGTAATGATATGATATTAGATTTATATTGAAAGTGCATTGGCCAATATTGAACAATGTAATAGGAATATTGGTCTAAAATTGATACAACTATTGCTGAACAGACATTGGCCAAGTACAAGGCTCGTTATATTTGATTGCGTCTCATTTGACACATTACTTTTGTGCAATTGGTTGGAATTTTTATTTGTATCTGTGTGTAACTCCGATTATCAGTTTGTTCTCTTTAGAACGTGTGCTCGATAAGGAGCTAAACTCCTGGTCGAAACGTCGCGCTGTATACTTTTTATCTTTAATTTATTAAACAAGTGCCAGTCAAGGTCGACTAAGCTGATCCATTGTTAAATACAAGGCGTGCATCTTACAATATTGAACCAATAGTGTGAACACTAGATTTACATTATTTCACAATATTGCGCCAATATGTTGTGCTGCTAGGGCAGTGCGTACCAAGGCTTGCTCAGAGTCTACTCTTATATTTATGGTCATCTTCAAGTACATATTCAGAAACTATTTAGCCAAAAGAATGTTCCATACGTAAAACGTATTTAAGACGATCCTTAAATATAGAAATTGGCCGTGAACAAGCCTCTGGGTCTGTCCGGACAAACTTGCGCAGGTGCGTAAAGCATGTGCATAAAAAAAATTGATCGGTCTATTTCCTTATGCGTGCATTTATGGCCAAATCAGATTCCTTGTGCATACGTTTATGCGCTATGCAAGTTTGTCTGGATAGACCCTTGGTGTGGACTAGCGCAAGCCGCTGAATTCGCTATTAATTAACGGTGCTGCCCAATTTGCCGACACAAGGTGACACATGCATCACTTTGTCCTTTGTTGTTCACGAGATGTTGAAGAAAGACGGGCTGAAAGCTTGTGTCGACTTGTATCGCTAAATGGAAAGCACCATAAATCGCGAAATTATTTATATGTTACATACATAGGATACCTACTTTATCATGTACAGCAGACAATTCAAATAATTTAAACATCTCTACTTTGCATTACGATCAGGATAAATTAAAACCGATACAAAGCTATCTTTCCCTCGCTCGAGTTGCCTGCCGTGATCGCGACCCAGTCGTCGAGAGACTGAACGTCGAATGAAATTGACCGGTCTCTTTTTGCAGAGGAAGACAGCGGCGAGGGAGACGAGGACAAGGAGAATGCCACCTATTACGTATCGAACGAGATACACTTTACCAACCCGAAGATGGCCTCCCTGGTTCTGACGAAGCGCGGAATTGTCGTCGAGGCCGACAAATCCATTCACTCCCAAGTGCGCCTGATCACCTTCTCGGACGGGCCGCCGTACGAGACCCTGCACGCGATAAGCAAGACTATGGCGCCCTACTTCAAGAGCTACGTGAAGGAGACGGGTCGCGCCCACCGGGACGGGGATAAGATGGTGCCGTTGGTGGAGAAGAAGATCGCGGAGCTCGAGATGGGGCTGCTGCATCTGCAGCAGAACATCGACATCCCCGAGATCTCGCTGCCGGTGCATCCGATCGTCGGGCAGGTCATCAAGCAGTGCGAGGAGGAGGGCCGCAAGCCGAAGGTCGCCGATTTCGGCGACAAAGTCGAGGACTCGACGTTCCTGAATCAGCTGCAGAACGGCGTCAACAGGTGGATCAAGGAGATCCAGAAGGTGACGAAGCTGAATCGCGACCCGGACTCGGGCACGGCCCTGCAGGAGATATCGTTCTGGCTGAATCTCGAGAGAGCGTTGCACCGCATTCAGGAGAAGCGGGAGAGCATCGAGATCTCCCTGACGCTCGACATACTCAAGCACGGCAAGCGGTTCCACGCCACCGTCAGCTTCGACACCGACACCGGCCTGAAGCAGGCGCTGGCCACCGTCAACGATTACAATCCGCTGATGAAGGACTTCCCGATCAACGACCTGCTGTCGGCCACTGAGCTGGAGCGCATACGCAGCAGCGTGCAACAGATATTTATGCACCTGAGGAAGATCAGGAGCACCAAGTACCCGATTCAGAGAGTGCTGAGACTAGTGGAGGCCATCTCGAGGGACTTGGGGCAGCAGTTGCTCAAGGTGCTGGGCACGCGACGCCTCATGCACATTCCGTTCGACGATTTCGAGAAGGTCATGGCGCAGTGCTTCGAGGTGTTCACCACCTGGGACGACGAGTACGACAAGCTCACGGGGCTGTTGAGGGACGTCGTGAAGAAAAAGCGCGACGAGCACATGAAGATGGTGTGGAGGGTGTTGCCGGCGCACAAGAAGCTGCAGTCGAGGATGGAGCACATGCGCCGCTTCCGCCGGCAGCA